CAGAACAGCTGATATAGCCCAGAACGAGGTACACTGGGAGGTCAAGGGCACAACAACAGGAGCAAGGCCCACGGTTGCCATGAACCAAGTCAGCCAGAGTGTTCAGAAGCTGAAGGTCTTCTGCAGGGTCAAGCTCCTGTTGAAGCTTTTCACGGCTGCACAAGTCTGCTAAGCAACAACTTGTCAGAGCCAACTTTCTTGGCCAGAGCTAAGGAGACTTTATGGGCAAAGCATCTTGAAGTGCGAACAGTTTCAGCGCACCAGAGTGTACCAGCATCGGAACAGCATAATTTGCTAGGAACAATCCAGGTCCCACCAAAGACCAGAGATGTTTGCTCTGGGGTATTTAAGCCATATCGTTTCCCGCCAAGTGGGGCTAAGAGTCACAAATTTGTATCCCTTCAACACAGTGCCAGGTTTCTGTTGTCTTTCACAACTGATGGTTTGCGATCAACAGTAAAGAATAGAAGATGTTGTTGCACTTGCTTGGGCCTAAACTGCTGTTCTAACTTGCGAAAAATACTTAGGAAAGGGCGATTGGACACTCGCGCAACATGCAAAGACTGTTGCTGTGCTGTAGCCTTTTCCTGCACAAATCCGCTTCCGAACTCCTTTGATTTCAGTTTAGCGTAACAGAGCTGTCCGTATTTAAAGGCTATAGCGTCTATGGGATCACCCACTGAGCCTGTTAAATTTCTGAGGGTCTGGCCCGTACATGGGAGGGTCCATGAGCATTTGGACGGGGTTCGTTCTCTTGCCAATTTTGTTCGAATTTTGCAAACTCCTTTTCCAACTTCCTTGGTTTGGCTGATCGGACGATGTTTCTTTTCCAGGTTCCTGGGTGAACCTGGGGAAGATGTTCTGATTTGTCCCCGGTTCCGAGCAAGCAAAGAAAGGCATTCGGAACTCAAAGATTTGCCTCCCTGTGCGTGGCAAAGGTTCCCACAACACATCCCCTTCATCGCTTCAGAGGCCGGAATCCCAACAATTGCCTCGCAAAGGGCGCGCAGTGGGTTCGACACCAACGAAAAAGGTTGAGAGGACAAAAAAGAAACCTGCAGCCAACCATCACCCCAAACTGCACTCTGAAAGGGCACGAAGGAATTCTTGCTGTAGACACCTCAGGCCACATGCCGATTTTCTCGAACAACTTTGTTGAAGTAATGTAAAGTCGACAAGGTTGGCCATTCTTACCGAGACACCTTAGGCCTCTTCCGGCTTTCTTGCAGGGCTTCAGTTTCGATAATCCTAAGGCTGAAGTCGATTCAAATTGCAAGCACATACGAAACTTGAGGCCACTTAAACTCAGTTCTTGAGAAGTTTGCGAGTTTCTTGTTCACTCCCACAGCCTCGGTTCTGCCAACTTTTTAAGGCTTTTGGGGTGGTAACAATCGCCACAGCTGCTGGCGCCGGAAAAATTTAAGGCCTCTTGCTTGCCTGTTCGTTTCAAAGCAGGCTGACTTGTGATCTACCGCATCTTTTGGATGAAGGCCCTTTTCACGGCGTTGACATGAACAGTTGTATTGATTCAGATTCCTCAGAAGCTGCAAGGGATTCCTTGCTAGATCTCATTTTCAGAGTGACATCGGACACTGATGTCTCGGGTGTATGTCCAGCTGCAAAATTCCCAGATTCCATTCCATGTGTGGCCAACTTGCATAGGCCCTCCCGATTGAAACCCTTGAAATGCCCTGGCACCACAGCGATGGTCGAGCTCCTAAGGGATTTCTTACGGCTGTCAGGCGTCCACAAAGGTATATGTTTCCTCTAGTTTGAGTTAGCGTCTACATAAGATTCTTTTTGGGTCTCCAGAATCAAGCCTGGCATGTCCATTCGAAGAATTCTGGCAACAATTTGCTGAAGCAAGCAGAAATCCATTGCCGTCAAATTAGTTCGGCATCACTCAGAGTACCTGAGAACCGACAAATGCTCTCAAGGAAGAGGAAGGACGAGAGAACAAAGTCCAAACCAAATCACAGCCACATCAGCTTGATTATGCTTGATTGAAAAAACATGAAAAATGAATTTGCAAAGCCCCTGGTGTCTCACTTCAAGGACACTAGTCACTAGTAGCACTTGGTAAAGTCTGTAGGTATACCCTTCACAACTGTGTATATCGCATTTGGTGAACTCGGATAACATGCCGTCGACGCTGTAGCACAAAAAAACTAACACACGTCACACGTCACATTCATTTCAAGAATCCTGAATGCCCGACATCCATCGATGGCTCGGAGTTGTGATTCTGGGAAATTATCACACCTGAGGATACCAACACGGCAAAACGTCGGCATAGCACATGTGCTCAGATATGTGCAAGCATGACCACGCCGCAACAAGCAACAAGGGAACCCGCTTCAGAACCTGCTCTGCTGCCTGTCAGCAGGTCAGCACGACAAACGACAGCATGACCCGACTTCAGCATCTCAGGGGGGCGAGTCAGCATGCTAGCATGGCCCATGTCAGCGTGCCAGCACGACAACATGTCAGCAAGACAAAATTATGCAGCAAAATATTCACGTCAGCAAGACATCCTGTTTGTTATATATAGTTAGCGTCACAGCGTGACAACATGCGAGAGTGTCATACAAGCATGGTAGCCTGGCGGCATGACAACATGTATATAATCATGACAACATGCAAGCATGAACTCATGTTAGCACCACACCATGACTATGACAATATCAGCATCACCCCATGTCAGCATATCTGCAAACAGCTCTGGAACTGCTCAACCTGCTCCAGGACCTGGCCCGGGACCTGCTCCGGAACACCGGAACTTGCTCCGGAGCCATGCTCCGGAACTTATGATCAGTCAGTCAAGCGCTTGGGGTCTGCAGTCTGCAGTCTGCCTCAAAAAGAACCACAATTGCCTAGCCCACCCGATCGCACTGGGTTCTCGCTTTTTTCATCGCCTCAAAGGTCCCAGAGGATGCTACCATGCTGGACCCTCCGAAAGATACTGCTGCGGCTTGCAGCGTCCATCTCGACCGGGAACCAGACACCAGGCTTAACCCGCTTCTCCAAGAGCTCGAAGGCAAAGGCAGCAGTGGCCAGACCGACACAATCCTGCCAGAATCCAGAACTACGTTCTTGGCCATGAATTCAAAAAGCATTACCTACGATGGACCTACGATGACTGCATGAGATGTAAGTCCCCAAGGCACCCCATTCACACACTGTATTGGAGAAGGTTGCTTTAGTCGGGCAAACCTGTAGTATGGGACTCCAACCAAATCGATATGGACAGGTGTTCAATCCGTGCACTGGGCCACATGGACCATTGAAAAACCTCTTTACACTTTGACATCTCACCCACCAGGGATCTGATAACAAATTTAACCCCTATTCGCCATCCCAAAATGATCTGTAAGGTGAGCTTCCAAAGATAATTATATAGTAGTCTTTCAACTGCTCAGGATGGTTTTCGGCAGCTAATGGTGTTCCAATATGATGCCCCAATGCCTACAGTACAATAGCCAATGTCTTCATTCTTCACGTCTCCGAACCCTTCTCAGCTTTCTTGGAGCACCTCGAAACTAGTGTGATACATGAACAAGCCACTGAGAAGCTTCTACACCATGAGTGGCTACAAAGTCATACTGCGGTGACCTAGGACAATGTCCAATGGTGGTTCTAGAAGCCGTTTTTGACCTGGAATTCACTGGAAAGCCAAGCCTTTCTTTGGATCTCAAGGTCACCAAACCAACCCCTTCACTGCACAATGGACTTGTCCTGCATAGAGCACAATGTGATCAGTTTTCGTACTGCAGTAGACTTGCTGATCGTACGAGTCCTTTCTACATCTCACTACTGTATATAGTACCTTTCCATCATTTTCCATCACCCATGTCTGAACTATTCCTTCAAACATGTGCATATTGAAGAGCTTTCTGATCATGTTGCCCATGCCAGCTGATTCTAGCATATCACAACAATAATAAGGTCATAGTGGTTCCCTTCCAATATCTCTTGACAACCACGTCTTCACTTGCCTCTCTTTGTCCATGTATTGAGCCTCTTCTCTTCCCCTCATTTATGCAGCAAAGAGAAAAAAAAACAGCTCCACCCGCAGTGCTCCAGCATGCCTCTGCACCCACCAAGCCCAAACACCTCCAAACACTACTCCCTGGGAGTCAAAGACAAAAAGAATGGTCTGACTAGGGGACCTGACAGAGAACTCATGGGAACTCCCTTTACTTCAGTTGGTCGACTGGTCGGATGCTCAGTGCCTCCAAGTCCTGGTGCGCCACCCGCAGCGTGGCGACGCTTCTTCGCCCGGAGGCGTCGGCGGGACCGGTGGCTTTGATGTGCATGGCGTTGATGGAGCCCACGAACTGATCCACTGCCGTGATGATGGGCATTGAGAAGGTCGAGACCTGGGAATTCCAGGCTCCGGAAGGCTCCGGAAGGCCGGGTGCAAACGGTGAACGGAGACATGTTGAGACTGAAGCTGATGTGTTGAAGAAAAAGAGCAATCAAAGAGATTGAGAAAGGAGCCAGGATTTCAATCACTTGTCCCGTCAGCTGGTTGTGGCGGCCTACACAAGCTGGACTGCTATTTTGCAATTCATCGGTCCAACCATACAATCCTCCAATTTACAAGACTGATCTTGGTGTCTGCCTGGATTGTGATCCAGGCTTTACTCACGATTGCTTGACAGTGTGTGCAAGTCCCTGGTTTCCTTGCCTGCTGCATTAGCCCACGATTCCTCGGGATTTCCGCGGGCTTCGCAGCTGCCCAAACAAAGGCGACACACTGTGAGGAACCCCAGGCACCCTGAGATTCCCCACTGAGGATCAGGAAGAACTGGCGAAACAAGTTATTGACCACATGCATCCACTCGCATGGTTGATAGTTGATCACGGTTTTAGGCACCACCTCCAACACTGTAGAAAGGTGTCTTGATCCCCATAAACCTGGACTTTGACCCTCCACAGACCAAATGAAGTTGGAAAATGCCTCCTAAACCACTTTTTCAGGCCAAAGTGCGCCAACACAGATCTTGGCAACACCCGTGCGGCCGCGAACATCCAGTTCCAGATGTCTGGAGCCGTGCCAAAGCCTTGTGGCCGCCGGCGGAGAACTTCACCGTCTCTAAGGAGATGATGCTCCGGTTCCAATAGTAGCGTTCTTGTTCCTAGTAGCAATGCCAGGAGCCCCTAGTAGCGAACATTGCTCCTGGTAGTACGGCCAGGAGCCCCTAGCAACGCCCTTGCTCCGACTAGCATGATTTGATGTTTGAGATGCATGATTTGATGTTTACGGAGTCGATCCATCAAGATCGATCTGAGAGAAAGCCGGAAGGCGCCCAAGAAACTAGACGACCGTTGGCCCGAGAGCAAGAAAGGTGATTGTCAAGCAATTCCGAGTAAGGAAATAGTTAAAATCGAGTTGTCCAAAAGCCATGACTTCTTTATACAATCTGTTATTGAGTAAGAAGTTTCGAAGAAATTAGATGATCTAAAATATTCACAGAAAAGATATGTAGAAAGAGGGAAAGAGAGGGCGGATGTGAAGGAGTGACAGTGTGGATGTGCAGGTGTGATATAGATGTGGAGATGCGTGGGTGTGGAGGTAGAGAGGTAGATCTGCGGATGTGAGCGTGCCACACGGTCTGCCCACACACTAGAAGCAATCCTATCACACGATACTGCTAATCATCCCGCTCACCAGCGACACGCCGCGTTTACACCACAACATGTTTCGCGCTCCCCAGTGGCACTGCGCCACGCAAACTCCCTTCCCACCAAGGCCGCGCAAATCCGCATGGCACTGCGACATCACGGCCGTAACTTCGCCACACGGTCTGCCCACACACCAGAATAGCAATCCTATCACACGATACCGCCAATCATCCCGCTCACCAGCGACACGCCGCGTTTACACCAGCATGTTTCGTGCTCCCCCATGGCACGGTGCCACGCAAACGCACTTCCCACCAAGACCTCGCAGTCCACATGGCACTGCGACATCACGGACGTAATTCGCCACACGTTCTGCCCACACACTATACAACCTCACCAGCACTTCACGCCTTCGACACGCACGATCTCCGCAGAGGGTTGCCCGCGACAAATCCAAAAGGCAATCTCGCCTGCATTTCGCACCCTCGACACGCACGATCTCCGGAGAGGGTTGCGCCGGACAAGTCCAAAACACAATCTCGCCTGCATTTCGCGCCCTCGACACGCACGATCTCCGCAGAGGGTTGCGCCGGACAAGTCCAAAAGGCAATCTCGCCTGCATTTCGCGCCCTCGACACGCACGATCTCCGCAG